TATTTAGCCAGATGTATAAATATTTGATAAAACCTCTCTTTTTTCACACAAAACAAACTGAAAAAATAATAGCAGCACAAATTTTTAACTCGTCATTCACTGCTTGATTTTAAGAGTTTATGTTGAATTTCAAAAGGCATGAGGTTTTTCTTCAGATTCTATTAATATGTACATGTACGAGCGGATGACATTAACGATCGGATGACATGTACGAGCGGATGACATGTACGAGCGGATGACATGTACGAGCGGATGACATGTACAAGCGGATGACATGTACGAGCGGATGACATGTACGAGCGGATGACATGTACGAGCGGATGACATGTACGAGCGGATGACATGTACGAGCGGATGACATGTACGAGCGGATGACATGTACGAGCGGATGATATGTACGAGCGGATGATATGTACGAGCGGATGACATGTACGAGCGGATGACATGTACGAGCTGAAACATTTTAAAAAAAAAATCCTGAGCGTTCCTTCTTTGTTCAAAAAAAATTGATATTTTCCAACCAGAAAATAGTGTTTAAAAAAATATATAATTTTAATTATTTTAGCTATCTCTTATTATAAATATCATAGAAACCCATATGAACATATATTGTCTTTGTCTTCAAAATGTGGTTAATTTAATATACAATAATACCTTAAATAGTTTCACTAATAAAGCTCTTAAAGTGGTTGATGACTTTTTTAGAAATATTAACTGTTAAAATTGGTATAGCTATAATAATTTTATAACTACATTTTGTAACATTTTTATTTTATATACATTTATTTTTATTAGTAAAAAATGTACTATCATTTTGAAAATCCACTCATGTTAAATATTACATATCAAATGGGTTACCTTTCAAGGATAAAATTCATAATGAATCTAGAGATTCAGTTTTTTTTTGTTGTTGTAACAACAACAACAACAACAACAACAACAACAACAACAACAACAACAACAACAACAACAACAACAACAACAACAAGCTATTTATTTTCCATTTATAATCATTATTACAATAGTAATAAAAATAATCATAATACAATAATAATAACAACAATAAAAACAATTATAATAATATTTATAAAAATATAATAAGATAACAAATTAATTAAGAGTAATAGAAATTTATAATTATAATTATAATAAAGGAAAAAAATAACAATAAATAAAAAAAATTAAACAGTAATAAACATTATAATAATAGTTGTAAGTATGATATTATTTTATCATAATAAGTTAATGATTTATAAGGATGATGTCACTCATACAGAAGTTTGATCAAAGTAGTGACACCAGTTTTAAATATAATATGACTAATAATAAGCATAGAGACATACAACAAACATTCAAAAAATAAACATATAAAAATCATAATTTGCAGGTAATAATAATAAAAAAGACAAGGTTATTGACAAATAATATAAACTAATTTCAAGTGAACACCCGGTAATAATAAATACAATGCACACACATGATAATAATAAATACAATACATTCATAATGCCAATATTAAATAAATTGCTAATAGTAAGAATATTACTAAAAAAGTAATTATAATAATTAAAATAAATCAATATTACCTTGCATACAACAATTGTTTATACATACATAGTTACTGTTACAAGCAGTAATAAACTGACAAACGTAACAACGATAAAATAAAAACGACTATTGTTAAAAAAAGATTTAGTAAATGTAATAATCATAATTGTTATAATATAATAACAAAAATATATTGCAAATATAATAAATAAATAAATAAAATATAAACAGAAAAAAACAGTGTAAAAGAGAAAACGAAAAACTTATTACAAACAAAAAACATCACAAACAAGACAAACAAAAATTGAATATTAAAAAATAAACATACACATACATGCATACATATGTACATACACACATATACATATGCATACAGAAATACACACACATACATATTCACATACAGACGCACATACAAATATATACAATCTATATATTTAACTTTTAAATTTCTTTCTTTCTTTGTTGTAGTTGCTTTTCGATTTATTTAAGTTTTAAGTTTTTTTAAGTTTTTCTAATTCTTTTTCTTTTTTCTGCATTCTTTAATTCAATTTTTTTTAGTATTTCTTTTCGTTTTATTTATTTAGTATTTTTCTTGTTTTTTTTTCCCAAAAATTTTCATTGAAAGTTTCTGTTAAAAAAAAGTGTCCGCCATTCCGGAAGCCACTCCAAAGCTTCCAATATAACAAAACAATAACAAAACTCTCTTTGTAGTATGTCATCACTGACAAACTACTCTCTTTTTAGTATAACAACTACTCTCTTTGTAGTATGCCATAATTAGTGACGCTAATTCAAGATGATATACACAAAGGATTCAGTTTTGATATAAATGCATTTCCCACTGGACATTGTTGCCGTTGCAAAAATGTCTATATGTCAAAAAGGTTATTATATTATTTTATTTTAACCTTTTTTAAATATTTTACTAAAAGTACAAACAATCTTGTTCACATCAAGTCTATAAAAATGATTGAAGAGATTTGGAAAAGTGGGAGAGAGTTATTTATAAAGATTGGAAGAGTTGCTCCAGCTGACGATCAATGCTTATATCAAATTTGTTGTATGGTATCAGACAAGCGCAGCCACAAGGTTTTTAATTCAAGAGAATATATCATTGAGTCAAATTTTTGCACTGAAAGGTTAAACTCATTTTGAACAAATTGTTTTCAACTAGTTGGAAAGAGCATTGGGCACCTATGCACAAGAACATCTGCTGTTCAAAATGCTGAGAATCTTATTTTTTTCAATGATAGAAAGATTTCAGAGAAAATAACCTCAACTGTTCTAAAGTTTCTAGTAAAGGTTGAAAAATCGTTACAATTGTCCACTAGTAGATTTTTATTTATTGGTTTATTTATTTATAATGACTTGCTGCGATATTTTTTTCTAATTTTAAGAAGCTCATTACTATCTGTTGTACTAAAACCTAAGCTCCAAACAAATAAAGTCTCTACTGAAACTTGATATAGGAAAAACAATGTAGCCTGAAAATGTTATTCATGATATTCTTAGAGATTTACAAAAAGATCTTGGTCATCTAGAGATTTTAATAATTTAATTCAATTGGAAGTTTTTTTCAAAAAAATTATAATAGTTGATATAACTCACGTAGTTTACAGTATGGAAATTTACAACTAGGTGTTAAAAAGAATTAAATTGCTACGATTATGAAGCGTTCTCATGCTTTAAAAAAGTTTTACATTTAAAAAGTAATTGCTTTTTTAAATGGAAATGAAGATGAACTTCAAAACTCAATGTTGAAAGATGTTGAATACATTAAAGATCTTACAAGACTTGTTCAAGAAATAAGCTATCTACGTGACTCTTTGAAAATCATTGTTAGATTTAGAATTGATGGAGGACAGGGTTCACTAAAGGTTTAGTAACTAACCATTTTATATTATGCAAATAAAAGAAATAAAATTAGAACTGTTATTCAATTGTGATTAGTTTTCAGGTAATAATGAAAAAGAGGACCAAAGTAGAAATGAGAAAGACTCAGGATTGAACAAAGTGATAATTCTGGCTTTGGTACGTAATTTCAAGAAGAGAAACCATAATCTTAGAATGCTTAATAAATTAATTAATTTAAATCAGCTCAAGTTTTTTGTAGCTTTTGTAGCCCTAATACTCATAAACGTGTTTCTTAAAATATCAGTTAGAGATTTTGCCTGATTTTAATAATTTTTTACAAGTATCTTTTTACAAGTATCTACAAATATATGCTTGTTGCTACTGTACTGGTACAAATAGCTCGTTAGGTAGTTTGAGAACTTTTGCCTTCTTAATTTCAGATAACTAACGGTATCAAGATGTAGGAATAATAATTCCTTATAAGACAACAAAACTGTTCAATAATATTTTTAACCCATGTTTGCTTTAAGAAGATCCCAGAAAATTTATCCATGATACTATCCTTCTTCCAAAACTTTACATGTAAGAGCATTGTTGTAACAAAAATTGTTGACATTCTTATTGTCAATAAGGGTCTGAAATCTTTTTTCAACAAAAACACAGTAATGTAGCATGGTTGTAATGGGGAGCGGATTGGGTGGACCAAACTGTGGTAAAGTTCTCAATTTATTAGATGAAATGATGCTGGTAAAACCAATTACGTTAAAGTTATCTCAACTTTAAAGCCCTGCAAAAGTTTAGAACACGTAGTAATAGGTATGTATGTATGCTTGAATGTATGTATGTGTGTATGTATGTATGTATGTATGTATGTATGTATGTATGTATGTATGTATGTATGTATGTATGTATGTATGTATGTATGTATGTATGTATGTATGTATGTATGTATGTATGTATGTATGTATGTATGTATGTATGTATGTATGTATGTATGTATGTATGTATGTATGTATACACATATAGATGATTAACAAAAACCACGGATTGAAGCTTAAAAAAGTGGCTTCCATTAACAGCTCTATGAGAATTTAAACTAATTAAATACATGTTTTAACAAATTTATATAATATATATGACCTCATTGTTTAATTTGAAAAGAAAAAGTTGTTTTCTATGCATTTCATTTTGCTTTGAAACCTGTAATCTATAGAACAGACCCAAAAAAATAATTCTAGTAGCACGTAAAGTTGTCAAATCATTAAAAATATTATTATATATTAAATTAAACACATTTTGTAGACAAAGACAATGTGTGGTCGTGTGGTTTTCTATGATATTTATAATAAGAGATAGCTTTAATAATAAAAATAATATTGTTTTTTAAACACTATTTTATGGATTTCGGAAGATATTAATTTTGGACTATAAAGGAAAGCTTATGATTTTATTTTCAATACATATACAGCTCGTACATATACAGATTGATAGAATCTGAAGAAAAACCTCATGTCTTTTGAAATTAAACCTAAAACCCTTAGAATCAAACAGTGTATTGGTTTATAGATTCTTAAAAATATGTTTTCTCTTTTTAGGTTACTGTTTATTTTATCATACGAAGCAGCTATATTGTGTTTTATTACTCGGCTTCCGTGCGTTCATTATGCTAGCTTTAAAGTTTCTTCTAACCGATACATTGTCGGGAAAATCAATGATGAATTTCAATCCATTACAAAAGTGGATTGTGGTTTATTATGCATCTCAAATTCAGCGTGTATATTAGCTAACTACAACAATAAAGAAAGTTTATGTCAATTAGTTTCTTCTACAGGAACAGAGGAAATAAGTTTTAATTGGGATATTCTTGAGACAAATTCAAGCAACGACAGAAATGTAACTTTTTACTTTTAAAAATACTTTAGTTATAGTATTGTAGTATTACTGTCATGGTCATCTTATCATCATTTGTCGATACCATTCACAAAATGTGGGTGAATAGCTGTTGTGAGGCCTTCATCCGTCAAAAATTTAATATTGTTTTTTGTTTTATTTGGTCTATATTTTTGCGATTTTTAATGTGAGTACCATAATCAAAACAGTGAATGACGATTGTGAGGCTTTTATCCGTCAAAAAATATCGCTTTTTATTTTATTCAGCGTTTATTTTTGCGATATTAAAATCGCAAAAATAAAGACTGACTAAAATAAGAAACATTATTAAATTTTTTGACGGATAATAATGTTTTTGGCCTCACAACCGCAATTCGCCTACTTCAAGAAAATTTAATAGTCTTGTAACGGTACACCGTAGACCATTTAATAAAAAAGTTTCCCATAGATGCTCTCACTGATGGCGTTTTTCTCACTATGCCTAGAGCAAGAGTTAAACCAAAGTATGCACTTAATAACTGCTCTATGGCTGCATTAAACTTTTAATTAGATGAACTTAAACACTACAATTAAAGCTTTTATTTAAAGTATGAGATCGAAAAAAATGAGAAAGGAAAATCTTTTCAAAAATATTTAAAATGTTTTTCTGCAAATTTCTATAATTTTTATTTAAAGTTAAGAAATATTTGTATATTACTGGTGATGGTCAGGGGCGGGTTTTGTCACTCGCCAAGGAGGGGGCTAAAAGGTCTTTAAAAAAAAAAAAAAAAGGTCCGCATATTTTCATTTATAAGTAACTATCTTTTTTAATTTTTTGTACTTTAGTGTAATAATCAAATAATCAAGTTCTTATAAACTATAATCATGTATAATAGTCAATTTCATTCGTCAGTATAATAAATCTAATTCTGTATAATAGTCGATTTTCAAAAAAAAAATTCTAAGGGGGTGGGGGTGGTATGGTGTAGTAGCCCACCTTCCCTCCTAAAACCCGTCACTGGTTATGGTGCCCATAAGTCTACTATTTTATCATTATTTTCTGCACGACTGTTGTTTTCATTTTCTTGTTTATGAACAAGAAAATGAAAACAAACCTTCCAACAGTAGATAAAGTAATAATTACTGTATCTACTGTTGGAAAGGTTCCATCATGGATCTACAAAATCTATCATGGAACTACAAACGAGTCTCAAAAGTTACTAGAATTATTTTGTTATGTTTAATAACCTTTCTAACAGTACATATCGGAATTCTAGTAGCTTTTGAGACTCGTTTGTAGTTCTATGATGGATTTTCATGAATGTGCAAATTTTTTTCCGATTTTTTAATCGCTTTAATGACATTTTAATAAATATATATATATATATTTTTTTTATGTTTTTAAAAAACTACTATTTTTGCTAAATTAAAATATTATTACTGTTTCATTGAGTTAGTAATTTTTTTTGAAAGTCGTTTCGTTTCTCATTTTTTTCGATCTTATGCTGTAGTCACTTTTTGTGCAGTCTAATATAAAATGTTTTAAAAGAATTCGGATGTTAAGTTTTACATTTTCACTTGCTAAGTTGCATTCTAAACGTTTCATCTAAGTTCCATTCTAAACTTTTCAGTTAAGTTCCATTCTAAACGTTTCAGCTAAGTTCCATTCTAAATGTTTCAGATAATTAATAAGATAATTCAAGTAACAAAATTTTAAGTTTTTTTTTTTTTTTTTTACTCCTAAATTTTGCAAAACATATGTTTTCAATTTGTTTTATTTGTTACAGTGGTTAAAAAGGAGAATTCAAAGAAATCTTAAATTATTTTAAACTGATTTTGTGAACTGGTTTTTGTATATTTACCGAATATTTTGTTTGATATCAAAAGAACGAGTTGATGATAAAGAATTTATAATTTATTTCTACGTTCAAAATTAACAAATAATAAAATAAATATACTAGCAGTAACAACAACAACAGTAACATGTAGCTGTTGTTACTGTTGTTTTGTGGTTGTTGATGCTGTTGTTGTAGTTATTGTTGTTGCAACAAAAACAACACCAACAACAACAACTTAGAGGAATGAAAATTATTTTTATTTTTATTGCGCTTCTTTTTTTTTAATGAAAACTAAAATATTTACTTCACAGTTCACAGAACTTCACAGCTTCACAGACACCATACAGACTTAAAGATGGACGAGTGTACCTAAAGGTAGATTCAATTCACTTCATTTTTATCTAGTGATTTATAAAAATTTTTAAGGTTGGACCATATTGCGAACAAGGTTATTTGTGTTTGAATACAGAATGGTGTAGAGACGTATGCAAAGACAATAATGTGCATCACTACGTTTGCATAAGTAAGATCATATTAACTTTTTTTTATTTATCGACAAATTGCTTAATGATTTTTAATTCAATTTTTTTTTTTCATGTAACTTTTCCATTCCAGTTTTTATTTTATCAATTATGAAAGGTGTTTATCTATGCTGTATTGAAGTATTTTTACTTGAATTATTGTTAATTTTTTTAGTAACTTTTTGTCTTAAATTTCATATAGGTAATAAAAACGTAGCTCGATTTGGCATAGCTTATCAATCGTCAACCTACAGCTACCAAACTAGGGCTGCCTTAGCAATAGATGGAGACTTTACATCTAATTCTTATTTTCAAACTGACATGACAGAAGTAAACTGGCTAAAAGTTGATTTAAAATATATATACACAATTACTAGTATTAAAGTGACAAACACTTTTGGTAATCAAGAAAGATTAATTGGCTATAAACTGATGGTTAGCGACATCGATAACCTTGTTAGTTACACAGAGGTAGCAACGTTAACAAGCAAATGGAAACAAACCTATAATTGTTCAAAAGCTATACGCTATATTCTTATAACAAAAGTACCAGCTCAAAATCAATATCTTCAAATAACAGAATTGGAGGTCTTTGTATAAGTTGTCTTAGCTTTTTAAAAAATAAAATGTGTGGTGTTTAAAGCGTATTAAAAAACGATCAAGCGTTCACATATTTATTATATTGGTTAGCGACAGCGATAACCTTGTTAATTACACAGAGGTAACAACGTTAACAAGCAAATGAAAACAAATCTATGATTGTTCAAAAGCCATACGTTATGTTAAAAAGCTATATGCAAACACGCATTTAATGTTAAACAAGTTTAGTTCATTCAAACCTCTTCAAAACTTTAGGTTTTTCCCAATTGTTTACAAACTTAGATTTAAATTTTTACAAACTTAACAAATTTAACTTAACAATTATTTTGTAATAAAAACTTTTACATAGAGATGTTGCCAATTATTTTGTTAACAAATTTATATTTTAAAGAAAAAAGAAGTATAATATCACAAAATTTTTATTTAATGTTATCGAGGCAACTTTGACCATGAGGTAAGATAACTTTGAACAAATAATTTGATTTTAATCCATTTTAACGATTTAAATATATAACAAGTTATTACCCAATCATAAATAACGTAATTTTCTTGTTATATACTTCATTCTTTTTAGAGTGGTACAAATAACTCTTGTTATCAAATTTTGATTAGGTCTATTTTGATAAGAAGAGTTTCTAAAAATAAGAGTCACAATTGTAACTAATAAAAACTTTCTATATTTTTAAATTTAGTCTAAAGGACAAATCCCACCCAAACTGTTCACCTGAAAAGGGGGGGGGGGGGAATATAGGCTAAACAAAACAAAAAATTGAATTAATCATTTTTGAAATAATTTTATGAATTGTTATTACAAATTATATTTATTAACAATTATAACTGATAATTATAATAATGTAGATATAACTAGTTGTTATAGTTTTATAATTGATAATTATAATAATTTAGTTATAACTAATTATTATGGTTTTGTTATAACTTCTAAAAAAAGGAATTTTCAAGGAGTTTTAAAAGATTATTAGTTTTTGTAAATTTAATAATTGTTTTTTTTATGCAAAATTATTTATGCTAAATAAAAACTTAGGTTTATTGTTTACAAAAATTAATGTTGTAATTACATAACCATCTGGTTACCTACTGCTTATGTCTCGTTTTCGAGTTATTCCCACAAAATTATCAAGGATTTTACAATTTATTAAGGGATCATATCCATATAGTACGTACAAAATTTTATCAACAAAATTTTTTTTTTTAATTTCGTCATCAAAAAAATAAGCTTTTACAATGTTTTTACAACATAAAACTATAAAATAAAAGTTTTGACCGGAGCTGGCAGAAAACAAGGTCTTATTATCCAGTTTTTTTATTATTTTGTAAGAACAAATATATTTACATACTCCATTGTAGACTATTCTATTTTTGTTTTAAAAATCTACGAAGGCCTATAGTTGTTTAA